CAAACAAAAATGTGATTATATTGTATGTTTTAATTTTAAAGTCACACTGGTATTTGGTTCGCTGTTATAAATCTAAGTAAGTATATTCTTAGAGGTTAACATCTTCTTGATTTCAAGTCATAAACTACCTCATTATAACTCCTCTCAAAAAGGAAGTCATAAACGATCGTACCCTCATGGGTGTACATGTAGAAGCACTAGATTGCTTACCTGAGAAGTGAATAAGGCTGTGTTTGAAAGATCAGTAAATCATTACAGTGGCCCTAATGAACAACAAAAAAGGCCTTATCAGGGATTTTGATAAAAGTAACAGTGCATTAAACATATAAATGTTTTTATTTTATAAATGTAAAAGAAATTAAAGTAGCAAGTACATTTCTCTCTAGCTAGTAATACAGACACATAACAGCACACATACAAGTATCTACACCCTGCATACACACAACTGCCGGCTACAATTCTAGGCACATACATACTAAACTTCAGGGGCCAGATTTTTACCCAATCAGTGCATAGATGCATAAAATAAAAAGAAAATATACTTTCAGTGTTTTAAAAAAACAGCTTTCTCCTAAAGGGAGAAATTATGAGTAAGAAGGAATATAAAGCAGCTTCAGGGCCAGAGATATAGCTTAGTGGCATAAATGCCTGCCTGGTAAGTGCAAGGGCCCAAGTTTGATCCCTGGTACCAAAAACAAAACAAAACAAAACAAAAAACCAAAACAGCTTCAACAGTATTTGTAATGGTAGATGTCCCTCCAAAGTCTCATGTGGCCGCAGGCAGGACTCTTCAGAGGTGGCTGTATCTAGAGGATGTGATGCTGGGGTTAGGGGGTGTGGTTATTAAAATAGTCCACTGACTGTTTTGGTGTAGCTATGGGAGTAGGCAGTGGGAACACCATCCATGGGTGTGAGTGCCACCTACCCTAAGGGATGTAGCCTGCATGGAACGTAAGGGGCAGAAAGGGGGCTACTGCTGTCACTTGCTGTTCTGCCGTGGTCCTTCCTGTCTTCTGCTGCCATGAACTGCTTCCCCTCTGCCACGCCATCCTGCTTTGGAACCAGCCAACTATGAGCTAAAAGCTCTGCAAACCACGAGTTACAATAGCTACCATAAACCTTTCCTGCTTTAACTTTTATTTTATTTTATTTTATGTGTTTGGTACAGGGTCTCACTACACAGCTCGGATTCATAGTGATCCTGTTTCATCCTCCCCAGCGCTGGGATTACAGGCCTGCACCATCACACTTACTTGATCACTTCTTGCTGGCTTGCAGTACTAGGGATGGAACCCAGACCCTTCACACTGGAGCTACATCCCTTCCACCTTTTTTTTTTTAGACAAACTTGGAATTCCCTCTAGCAGTAAGGGGGATCCAACCCCAGTAAGGGGGATCCCCCAGCAGTAAGGGGGATCCAACCCCAGTCCTTGGCTTGCCTATGTAGGTGCTTAGACCGCTGAGCTATCTCTGCAGCCCTCCTGCCTTACCTTTTGATATCAGGTATTTTGTCTCAGCAATGAGAAAAATAAGACAGTATTTATAGTGTCCTAGTTCTTAAATTAGTAAAAAAAAAAATTGACTCAGGGTCTTACTGTGTGGTTCAGATTGGCCTTGAACCCACTGTGTAGCCCTCCAACTCATAGTGACACTCCCTCTCACCTTAGCCTCTCTGAGTGCTGGGGCTACAGGTGTGCACCACCACACCAGGACTAAGCAAATTTTATGGGGAAAAATACATACATATATGAATATATAAATATATATAAAATAGTCATGTATCAAATATGAAGCACAAATGTTTTAATTCAATAAAATTATAAACACCCATAGTTTGATAAAGCTCAAAGAAAAGAATCATCCTTTAAAGTTTCATTTTAATGATCTAACTAATGAAATGCTCTTTTATTTTCCCTCCCTTGCTCCCTTTACTTGATCACTTCTTGCTGGCTTGCAGTACTAGGGATGGAACCCAGGCCTTTCACACTGGAGCTACATCCCTTCTACCTTTTTTTTTTTTAGACAGGACCTCCATACGTTGGTAAGGTGCCCACACTGGGCTCAAACTTGGAACTCTCAGGGGGAAGAAAAGGGGAAGGAGACTCAGAGTCAAGCTGAAGTGTGTGCATGACCAGCCCTCCACAGCAAATGCACTCTAAGCGTTATGCACTGCAACCATGTACTGATAAAATTAAACACTGAAAAAAAACACCAAACAGAATTTTCCTGCTTCAGTCTCCCAGGAGACCTGAAATGATAAGCATGTGCCACCACACCCAGCTCTATTTTTATATTTATATTTCAGGTCAGCCTGGGCTATATAGTTAGTTCAAGGGCAAATGTTTGAACTACACGGCCTCTCAAAAAACAACCACCACAATAAATAAATAAATAAATAAATAAGAATTTAAAGATCCTGAAATTCACAAAAGCCATTCATTGTGAAGATGAAACATTCCACAAAGGAACATTTCATTCCCTTTCACATTTTGCAATGTTAGAATAGGTTGTTGAGAACCTATTTAGTTTGAATAATATAACTACACAGAAGAAATATTTAGCTAAAAGATTTTCTTACTGTATCCAAGGAAAGCAAGTCATCTTTGCTCCCGCCAAATACCATTATTTCATTTTCTTTTCCCAAACAGGCTGTGTGCCATAATCTATAATTGAAAATTATAAACAGTGAAATACTATCAAGGAAGAAACTGGCATTTACATATAAGTCAATTATAAGCTATACACTCTAATTTCAAAAGAGACATGATTAAATTTGAACTCCTGACACATCCTAAAAAGGGGCATTATCTATCTATCTATCTATCTATCTATCTATCTATCTATCTATCATCTATCCATCCATCCATCCATCCATCCATCCATCCACCCATCCACCCATCCATCCATTTATTTCAGACAGGGTCTCAGTATGTAGTTCAGGCTGGCTTGAACACAACATGTAGTTTAGGCTGGCCGATAACTCAAGGCCATCCTCCTGTCTCAGCTCCCAAGTACTGGGATTACAGATGTGTGCCACCATGCCCAGCAAAGTGGTTACATTTTAAAGACTCCATTAAAGTTCATTAAATCATTTTTTAAAAATTAAATTTCTTGGCACAATTTTTTAAAATATTTTACTTTTTTTTCTGTATTTAGGACAAGGTCTAAAGAGTTTCACCATGTAGATTGGACTTGTAGCGATTCTTCTGTTTTCAGCCTTCAAAGTGCTATGATTACAGGTGCGCGCCACCACACCTAGTCTCAATAGGCACCCCAAGGAACAAACCCCGGCCGCTGCGCTCTGCCTAAGCAGGCGCTTTAGTCTGCTGAGCTATCAGGCTGGCCCTGGTACAACTTAAGTATGCACAAAGGTCATACTCATCATAAAGAATCTGTGCCTGTATATGATGTATTTCTTTTTCATGAGACACAGTCTCACTACTAATGCAAGCTGGCCTCGAGCTCACTATGTAGGTGTGCTCCAACTTGGTGATTCTCCTGCTTCAGCATCTGGAGTGCTGGGATTACAGGTGTGCACCACCACGCCTGGCTCTAAAATCATTTCATTTTAGTTAAGGAGATGATTTCTAATAACTGGATTGATATCACTGGACCTTTTTCTAATCCCTTCAGCTCATAGTTATTATTCACAAAATACAACAGATTAGAAAGGAACTGATCCCCTCCGCACTGTGCAGCAGCTTTCAGCTTTCTGAGTCTGATCCTGTTCCTGCGCCCTCTCCGGCGGCCACCGTGCACTCTCCGGTGTCCGTGGTCAGACTGCTCACACTCTGGGTGCACAATACCACAGTACATTGCGAGAGTTGTGTTTCTGGTCCTCGCTGCCTACAGAAACCTAATAAATAATACTTTCAAACGTTTTGCTCTGTCAGCCATTTGAAAATTTTAATTAACATCCAATGTTTGCACATAGTCATGGGCTACTTGCGGTAATTTGACACATATTTACAACGTGTTATAAGCATATCAGGGAAATAGCATTTCCACCTTTTCAAATATTTATCATTTCTGTGTTAGGAATCTTCGGGCTCTTCCAGTTATTTTAAAATATACCATGAATTGTAGGAAACTATAGCTTGGAAATTTCCTGACTAGAGCCAAGCCACTTTTTCTAGCCCTTACTTATGATCAACTGCTATTTCTTTTTGTTCAAATCTCAATTCTTGCCTCTTCCTAAATGAACCATTAATTTCAGACAACTCTAGTCCCTTGCTTAACTTTAAAAAGGGCTTATATCTACCTCTAAATATTTGTTCACTTTTTCCTTATAATTAGAAAAGTTTTTTTTTTTTTTTTTTTTTTTTTTTTGCGGAACCGGTGATTGAACTCAGGCCCTTGTGCTTGCCAGGGAAGTGCTTATTCCACTGAGCCATCTCCCTGGCCCCTTGTAAGGCACTCTCAATAAAGACTTATTCAGAGTTTAGACATTCTGTTTAAGTATGACAAAAATATTTCATTATTAATGAAATATAGTAAGTTGTATATATAGTCAGTACTGTTTTAGAATGAGAGTTACAGTAAGAGAAGCGAAAGTTTTGTTATAAGCCATTATGATTTAGAATGATTTAACTGGGCCAGGGAGATAGCTCAGC